CATGTTCAACAGCATATCTCGTCTCGAACCTTGGTCTTCGCGATCTGTGACACTCTAATCATTATGCCATGCCCGGCCTCCTTGATCTGGTTGGTAATTTCTTACTGTTCCGTAAGTTTTATATATGCTGCATAGAAGCATGCTCAACAGCATATCTCGTCTCGAACCTTGGTCTTCGCGATCTGTGACACTCTAATCATTATACCACGCCCGGCCTCTTTCATCTGGTTGGTAATTTCTTACTGTTCCGTAAGTTTTATATATGCTGCATAAAACGAAATATACACACAACAATAAGATTCTAATTCTAAACTAACAAGCTAATCAGCTACAAAAGATGAATTATAATAGTATTATAATATATTAACAGTATTCAACATAAAAGTATTAGGAACCTATATAAGTCACTTGGAGTTCATGTATCTTTTTAAATCACAGGACTGATAAGAAAACCTGGCAAAAACTGAGATGCTCTTTGTCTCCAAGTCAAAGTACATAATTGTAATCTGGATTTTTTTAATAGCTTATAAGTCAGTAATGTAGATGTTGGGTGCTTTAAAGGTCAAGTGTGAACCTTTTGTCATAGTTATTTTTATAGTGTATATTTAAAAAGCACTTTAACTTTATAACACTGCTCAAGAATCATAAATATCGTATAAGTTGTATTCTGTATCAGTTGAATTTAAATATTCGTTCGAAAGCCATTAAAAGAAAGATCACACTTGTCATGTTACCATGATATTCCTTGCATAATGAATGTAACAAGCCTTTATTTGTCTGACGGAAACCTAAAATCCATTATACTCCGTGCATGCAGCAATATGCCTTTATTGGCCTAACGGAAATCTAAAAGCCATTATACTCCATTCATACTGCAGTATGTATTTATTGGTCTAAAAGAAATCTAAGAGCCATTATAGCAGAGAATTCTATCTCTGAAACACAAGCAAACATTGTATTAACATAATTTCCGTACACCCAATAACTCACTAGTACTCTAAACAAATTTTGATAACTTTCCTGCACTCAACAGGGAATACGTTTACTGTTTGATCTAACTTACTTGGAACAGTGTGGAGTATATTGAAGGGAAATTAATAAATTCGAACACATCTGGATACTATAAAAAACGAAACACTATATTGAAATAATTTTCCGTCTATTTAAAAGTAATTTCACCTGAATATTTAAATCAACCTTGTATTGCACAAATAAAATAAAGTGTGAATACATGATAACCAAACTGAGATGTATATTATTTAATTGATGAGTAACACTAATTTTACATGAACTGTTTGGATGTTAGAATAAAACGTTGTAAATTGTTGTATTCGTGATAAATAACATTGTTTTTGTAGTTAAGCGCAAACCTACACAATGGATTATCTGTGCTCTGCCCATCACTGGTATTAAAACCCGGTTTCTAGCGCTGTAAGTCTGCAGATACGCCGCTGTGCCACTGTGGAGCCTTTTGGTTGTTATTATTATTCAACTACGTTATCAAACATTTTCACTTTGATGAAATAAATTAATTAATGGTTATTTGATTTTCAACTAGAATTACTTTGAATTGTTCGTTTGCTAATGGCAACGCTATCTACCGCTATCCCTAATTGTGAGCTACCGACTACAGAGATGGCAAAGGGGCGGCAAAACCCGCCAAACATTTTTTTTTTCAAATTGTGGGGAAATTCGTTATACAATTCACGTGTAACAACAAAAAATGTAATAGATTGTCATAATCTTTTTTCAGAAACTTCTTTCTACATCACTGCTGGTTAAGTTTCTGTAATAAGAAAATATATTAAAATACTTTTCTTTATAATGGTCAGATTAAATTTTTATTTATTAGCATGGATTCCTACGTTATTCAAATAGAAAAAAAAATAGTCACTAGCTCCAAAGACCAACCACGTCGGCCCGGCATGGCCAACGTGGTTAAGACACTCAACTCGCAATCTGAAGGTCGCGGGTTCGAATCCCCGTCACACCAAACATGCTCGCCCTTTCAGCCGTGGGGGCGTTATAATGTGACGGTCAATCCCACTATTCGTTGGTAAAAGAGTAGCCCAAGAGTTGGCGGTGGTGGTGATGACTAGCTGCCTTCCCTCTAGTCTTATACTGTTAAATTGGGGACGGCTAGCGCAGATAGCCCTCGTGCAGCTTTGCGCGAAATTCAAAACAAACCAAACATTCTTTTATGTATAGCGTTATGACGTTTTGTGAAAAATCTGTACGTGATGTTGAAAAATGGATATCATTTTCGGATTCAGCGTACAGGAATTACTGTGGAACATATAAACATTTCAAGACAATAAAACCATCGCAGGCCTGTGTAATTAATATCCTGTTACAATGAGACCACAACACAACATATAAGAAAATATGCGAAGTGCCACTATAACAGAAGAAGGGTGATCCAACAGATTTGTTATATATCCCAGTTGATTTGGATGTTTAACTTCGTGTTTCTGAGAAATATGTGTTATTACTGCGCGCTATCAATAATACATTTCATTTTACCCCAAAAGAGTTTTGTAAGGTACTTTATATCCTCATAGATAGAGGATGGGCAAATACTCAGTTTTTAACTACAATCTTAACTGCTACTGAATATATAAAGCGATATTTTTATTGTGATAACAAAAAGTGCTATATTGTTTATAGCACAATGGAATACATTTTGGTAACATAAATTACACAAGAAAACTATCGCTAATTTTCTGATCCTATTATCGTTTATCGTAAGTTGTTATCAATGCTTTAGTCTACGTGTATTTTTAAATTTATAAATCGAGCAGTCTAGCATACCGACAAAGAGATCGGCGTGTAATGTAAACACATAAATTTCAGATTTAACCGAAACAGTATGTATAAACGATATATGATGGTCTTATATCAAATATTACCTTACGTTTAACAAAATATTATAAATAGCTGACAAATCTGTCTACACTCCACATAACAATACTACAGTTCAATCACGTTTTTTACCGTAACAAAAATGTTTACATGCTACAGTTGCGAAAATTTATAAACTGATACCTTTTTATGTTCTTTTGCTTGAAATGTACTTGGAAAGTAGACAATCTAACAAAGCGTTTGAATCAGTCATGTATTTATCTGAAGTGTTTGTTTTGTCACATAAATGTACATCTTTAAATAGTTTCTTTTACACCTTATTTCTCTGTATTTAGCGAGCTGGACGTGGCCAAATGGTAAGCGTGCCCAGAGAGTGAATCCAAAGTTTCGTGATTTGCGTCCACTTGTCACAAAGCTTGTTTGTTTGTTTTGAATTTCGTGCAAAGCTACACGAGGGCTATCTGCGCTAGCCGTCCCTAATTTAGCAGTTTAAGACTAGAGGAAAGGCAGCTAGTCATCACCACCCACCGCCAACTCTTGGGCTACTCTTTTACCAACGAATAGTGGGATTGACCGTCACATTATAACGCCCCCACGGATGAAAGGGCGAGCATGTTTGGTGTGACGGGGATTTGAACCCGCGACCCTCAGATTGCGAGTCGAGCACCCTAACCACCTGGCCTGCCGGGCCCTGTCACAAAGCACGCTGTACTGTGGATGTACTATAAGAATGACGGTCAAATCTCTCTATTCGATCATACAAAAAGAGTCAAACAATTGGTGGTAGGTTTTATCGATTAGAAGTCTTTCCTTTAGTTTATCAGTTTAGAATTAGGGGCGGTTATGGGCATTTAGCCTCGGTGTGTAGCTATGCGCGAAAACTTTAAAAATAAGCAAACAATCTTTACTTCGCGCCAAGTATTACAAGATCGCTGGAATTGTTCAAATCTGTGAAAAATTTTGGAGATTACTGATTAAAAGTACTCTGAATATGAAATTCGATAAAAAAAAATCATTGTATGTAACTTAATGAAAATACTTCATCTTTATTAAGTAGAATAATATAAGTTGTACTGCAGAGCAATTAAATGGTTACTCAAGTTTTGAAATATTACACATTAGTTCCAACCTTTCAACTCCCAATTGTATTAAACGGGTATTAAATTTTGTCAGCCGTTCAAATGTAAAGAGCTTAACAGTTATGCTTACGGAAGCCAAAAATCTTCTAATCATGTGCACAATAATGCTTTTGCTCATTTGCTCGTATAATGTTTTTTACTTTTATAAAACTGTAATAAAAAATATGTTTATATTCCCTCCTTTTATTGCGTCTCAATAGTCAAAATGTTAAAGTTTGTAATGAAAAATATGATGATAACGTTTCGGTAATATTTTTTGTTTGTGTGCTAAATATATGATAATATATTTATTCGTAATTTCAATTGAGTGTAATTTCTAACTAAATAAGTAATGAAAATAATTATCAATCAAGTATATCGGTTTCTAAACTCTATCTATAGTTTAACCCTGTGTTTTTGCTGTAGATTTTCTTACAATTATGTAGTCATATATCAAAAATGTAAGGGAATTATAATTTCTTATAAAACAATACTTGGTCATTAACAAAGGTTTCACTTAACTGTCCTGTTTTGTAGCTTAACACACATTTAAGAGATAGTCTAAAGTAAGTTACGTAGTTGCTCATAAATTAAATATTTAAAGCTAATGATTATCACTAGTTCACATTACCTTACTATTGACAACACACATACCATCATCCAATCTCTTGAGAATGAGAGAAGTATCGGAAATGTAACAAAGCTACATGGACGTGGAAAAAAAACTACTAGTGGTAGTTTAACTTTAAATTCAACCAAAGAATGATGATTCTGACACTCTTAGAACGGGATCCCTTAACTTCCGGTCATGTTAGAACCGGGGTAAATTAAGCCTTGTTTAAGCACACATGCTGACAAAAAGTAAGGACCAACAAAAGTTAATCTCACGCGCTGCTCATTATTATAATAAAGTGTTCTGTCTTCTATCAGTTAATCTTTAGACTAGTGTTAATTAATGTCTGAATATCAGACGTAGTTCTAATAAACATAAACATTGCCATCTCTAGCAGTTACACTTACCATAGCAGAAAGCTAATCTGTCTTCATCATTACAATACACAGTCAGACAGACTTGGTTAACAACGTTCGATGAATCATTAGCTTGTGTTTATTATCTCACAATTCAGACAAAGGAGTGTGATAGTTTTGTAAATCAAGACTCTTGATACTCAAAACAAATATGGCTAACATCAACGACAGCTTGTATCAAAGGTCGTTCAAGCAGATGAAATGTCTGTCTGCCTGTGATTACAAGCTTTTTGTTTTACCTTAGTCTCTTTATGATGACCCCTAAAGAATATTCATTCGTAAACCAATAAAATTTAGTCACGGAAAAATATTTATCTTCATTTAATTACATTTTTGTTATTGTAGTTTTTCTTTCAATAAATCCTTAAGCAAATTATTGAATACAGTTTACTTAAGTATATATATGAAGACCAATATTTTAAATGCATTCACAAAAGTGCTTCTAACAAGTTTACAAAAAAAAAAAAGATAATTCACACTCCAGAAGAAAAACGATTATATTCAAACCCGACTTTTCGGCTTACGTTTTTCTCAAAGGTTACAGTGTCACGTATAGTATTTGTATGTGACGCTGTAGTCTTTGAGAAAGGCGTCAGCCGAAACGTAGGGTTTGAATGAATAATTTTTTTCTTTCTTTTTTTTCTGGAGAGTAAATTACATTTTTATATGTATAAACATGGTTTCAATCCTCCACTCTGTTCTACAAAGTTTAAAAATTTATATGAATTTCTTACTTACAAGGTTTTGTTGTTTTATAGACTTACAAACTATAACAGACAAGATCCAATAATACCATTTTTTAATAAAATCTATAAATGGCACAGTATACGAGATTAATCTTACATATACTGCTAAATAATTGGAGATTAACAGCTATAAGTTTCCAACAATTTCGTTAAGATCTTTATCAGTATAAACAGAACATTTCGTTACAAGTTGTCAAACTGTAATAATGTTTGTTTGTTTGTAATTAAGCACAAAGCTACACAATGGGCTATCTGTGCTCTGCCCACCACGGATATCGAAACCCAGTTTCTAGAGTTGCAAGTCCGCAGACATTCCGCTGTGCCACTAGGGGGCGACTGTAATAATTTGGACTTAACTTTAGATTCAATTACTTTAAATTTGAACTGGCCGAGTGTATTCCTCCAAATACCAGCATACCGACGTTAAGCATATAATTCAGTTTAAGAATCCTTCCAATAAACCCTCATAACAAAGATATATGTGGGGTTGTGCTCCACTTTATCTTAGTTTTCAGTTCTTCACGTAATTATAAAGTTCAGAAGTTAATAAGATTGTTTACTCTTTGATTATGGTCTTCAGTAGATAAAAGTTACTCCTGAGAAAGAGTAAATTGAGTAAATCCACACAAGTTACTTTGCCAAAACTCCGTCTTAGCAGAAATGCATTTGACATATTATTCCAATTCAAATTATTCCTAACTTCTCTACACTACTTTAAACTTCTAAACTAACTTAGAGTGTTCTATATAATTGATATTTGAAACCGTCGGTACTTGGTGAAACTTCATAATTACAGAATTGAGGAAAACAATACAATTGTACGTTTTACAAATACATCATTTATTACGACCATGACTTCGTCAGTAAAGGCATCATCAGGTACAGACTGAAATGTTTTGTAGCAGTGTATTTAAACAAAGAACCGGAAGTGACCTTGGCATTCAGCTAGAGACAAGTGTGGAGGAGCTTAAGTTGGTTTGGTCGTTCATAGTTTTTTCTGGATTTGTTTTTAGACTTCTCTATATTTCTAAAATTACCAGACTGTCTAGTTTTTTACCATTTTCACAGATATATAAAATTTTGCATTTTTTTTTCTTTATCAAGTTGGTGTTCCAGAGTATTCTTTAATTCTCGTTTTTACGGAACGTCCTGTTTAACCTATATATACACACTATTGCAGTCTTGACAAGTTGGTTGGTAAACACCACCGTTGCTGTACTTTTCTATTCAGTTGCACAACATTTTTCCTAGGTTGTTTTTGTTCAGTGTGTTATATATATTTTATGAGAAAGTTTTCTAATGTAGCTCATCTTAAACCATTCTTTTTGTTGTCGTTTGGTACAGTATGTGGGTATATTGATTTTAATTTTATGGCTTTCAGTTTTTTATACAACAATGTATTAAATAACTTTGTTTTTAACCATTGTTAACAGCAATTTGTTTTATAGTTTTTAGTTCAGTTTCATAATCTTCAGATGACAAGGATACCGTCTGTGTAAGAAACTGTGGAACACGGAAAGTTCATGAGATATTGGATGTCTTGATGTATCATAGTGTCACTATAAGTCGGTTTTCTGAATATTTTGAAGGAATGTATGCCGTTATTTATGTCAATATTTAAGTCTAAAAAATTAATGTTTCCGTTTTCACCAAATTCTATAATAAATTTAATAAATTTGTTTTGTGAATTTAGAAAAGTTACAAAATTGTCGAGTTGACGTTTGGATCCTGTCCAAAGACAAATCACATCATCAACATATCTATACCAATACTTAACACGTTTTGTATTATTTTGATCACAATTACTTCTCTAAATTATCCATGAAAACTTCTGCAAGCAAAGGAGAGAGGTGGGAACCCATAGCTAACCCGTCGTTCTGTTTATGTATTTGGTCATTACGTTTGAAGTAGTTCTGATCTAGGCAAGTGGTTATTATTGTTTTTAAACCATGCTACAAAACATTTCAGTCTGTACCTGATGATGCCTTTTGCTGGTGAAACCATGGTCTTAATAAATTATGTCCCTAATTTAGCAGCGTAAGACTAGAGGGAGAGCAGCTAGTCATCACCACCCATCGCCAACTCTTGGGCTACTCTTTTACCAACGAATAGTGGGATTGACCATCACATTATAACGCCCCTACGGCTGAAAGGGCGAGCATGTTTGGTGTGACGGGGATTCGAACCCGCTACCCACAGATTGCAAGTCGAGCGCCCTAACCACCTGGCCATGCCGGGCCCCTCTTTAAGAAACGAGAAAATCATAGAGGCAACTCCTTCATTGAAACCTAGATGGGAATGAAATATTTTGTTTCATCAATAGACATGAAATACACAAAACAGTTAATTAAAAGTCTATACATCAGGAAAGAAACTGTCTCTTATTGTTTTTTGTTCAATTCTGTTGCGATGTTGTATGAAGTCTTTATCATGCAAAGTCAGAATATTACTATAAAATTTAAATTTTATTTGGTTTCATTTCTTCTAATTATAATCTGCAATTAAAAGAAATGCTCTAAAACTACATAGCTCACAAACAATTATAATAATTTTATAGTAACTCTCAATATCGGAGATGTCCCAGTACTTGTATTTTTGTCTGTTAACTATTGTAATTATTTGCCAAATCTAAATTTAAAACTGTGTCTGTAATTAAACAAGCTGGTGGTTTCTGCACGTTTCTATGTTGAGCGTAGATATTTAAACTGAATTAGGTTGTTAACGATTTGGTCCTAATTGCTAGTCTTATTTCAAATTGTCATCCATAACCATAGAATTTTTAATTATCTCTTCAGCAAACTGATGTTCGTGCTTGAAATGTAACACTTATTAACCATAAAGCAGTTTTAATGTAGATAATTGATTAGCACTATCTGTGAATTACAATAAATAATTAGGAAAATTATGCTTATCTCATTAATGACATTTTCCCTTGTCATTGATTCAACGTGGAAAGTTTTCATTTTGATATTTGACAACGACAGGTTTTACAATTTATTCTACTGTAGCCATTTAACAATCGTTTTTTTTTTGTTCATACAACTAAATAATTCTTGCTTGCTAAGGAAACGTTGTTGAAATATATAGAAAATATTAATAATATCTAATTAATATCAACTTCCAATCGGGACAAACTACCTAGTTAGATCAAAAAGAAAAATCAATCCACTAATGATTATAGTTAATTAAATATACTGTTCTTACATTCTTACTTATGAAAATTAAAATGCATTGTTTCATCAATTGGTTACCTTCGCTGTTAAAAATATTTTAGGCCATAAACCGAATATCTTATGAGGTTCGGCCAACTTAGGATATTTAGGTTAATCCTAACTACATATACAAGGCTAACAAAGCAAAACAGTCTCTGTAATAAGAATATAATAATAACAAATGAAAAATATATAAATTTAACATCCAAGACAAGTTTTAGATTCAACTATTGACGTAATTTTGAAATGTGCAGTAATGGTTAACTTTAAGCAAATTCAACGAAGAAGCTGCTTATACTTTAGTACTGTAATGGTTAACTTTAAGCAAATTCAACGAAGAAGCTGCTTATACTTTAGTACAGTAATGGTTAACTTTAAACAAATTCAACGAAGAAGCTGCTTATACTTTAGTACTGTACTGGTTAACTTTAAACAAATTCATCGAAGAAGCTGCTTATACTTTAGTAGTTTTTCTTCAACAGAAAAAGTGTTATATAGTAAAGAGTAAAACTAATCAAAAAGAAACTACAAACTACATACACAAATATTACGTAACTGGTTTATCTCACAAATCTATAGCAAATATTGCTATATTATTCCTTAGCGAATGGTAGAAGGTGTTGGTGAGTGCTAGTGAGTAGAAATTGTCGCATCTCTCCAAATTCATACATTTACAGTTATTTGATGGTGAGTAGTAGAAGTTAGCTATAATTATGTTTTATATAATTTTTATAAACATAAATACATACTATTTCTGCACGACTGACCTTTTTACATGCAAAAAATTAACAAAATAAGTACGTAACTGATATATTTAGAATACACTATGTATGATCTATATTCTCTTTTATCGCCTCATTACAGGATTAAATACCCCGAATAAATAGTTTTAGTTATGTATATATCATATATAAGCCTATCTATCCTGGTCAGAATAGTGGAAACTATTAATAGTACCTATAGGAGTAGCTCACTAAATGAATACTTACGATTTTCAATTAGCATACACTCCCCCATATTGATATTACTTTCAATTAGCATACACTCCCCCATATTGATATTACTTTCGATTAGCATACACTC